GGGGCCCGGGAAGAGCCGCCCCCTCCTCCCTCCCCCTTCTCCTCCGATGTGAATTTTTAAAAAGTCACAAAAAGAAGCGATCGGACTTTTGCAACACCAAAACGAAACCCGAAAGGTACTCTCTCTTTTTTTTTCTTCTTCTCCAAATAAATGTATAGCCCTTTTCTTAATCTTTCTTGTTTGCCTGAATGTTGTCACCAAGTGAAAAAAAATTATTTAACTATATGTAAAAAATTCCCTTAAAAAAAGTTTTACCGCTGTTAAATGTATTTCAGTGCCAAGGTCAGATTATGTGCCCCACAACTGACTTGTTGCAAATAGTAATAAAAAATATTACTTTAACTTTACACGGACTTTTTTTGTGGTTGGTTCTTAAGTTCAGAAAGAGTCTACTAGCCTCAATTTAAGAGAAGAAAAAATCGCGAAGAGATTAAACGCGATGCCGAGCCCATGGCTTAGCCCGACATATTCACCGACGTTTTCTAAAAGTTCCCTATAATTTCTATTAAAACGGTGCAGCTCAGAAAAACAAATCCTATACATTTTGTAGTTCAGCATGCGAGAGCCCCATCCGTGCTATTTGGACGGCTTTAAACTCCCCCTCCAAACCGCGGGGACACGGGCACTCTCCACACTCCATTTCTTTCTATCCTATGCACCCGCAAGGCTTTTGTGTTTGTTTGTTTGTTTTCCGGATAGTTTCCTAGTAAATCTCAATCGCTGCGTATTTTCGTTTAAAAAACACCTCGCTCTGCCTTCATTCACCAAAGCGAACGAGCCCTGCTTTTGACTTTGGCACGGAGCAAGTATAGATCCAGCCTGAATAATTAATACGCTTTAGAGCAACTGGTCGAGATACCTATCTCTCTCTCTCTATCTATATATATATTTTAAAACAAACATTTTTTTTTTCCTGGATTTTAAGTCGAGTAGCAACCCGCAGCCCCGCGCAAGGCACAGCAGCCCCGCGGGCAGCGGCCACCCCGGCCCCCTGCAGCCCGTCTGGGTTCTGAGGGTGCGCTTCCCTATTGCCTTTTCTAAGGGGGGCTTAAAAAAAAAAAAGTGTGTTTTTGGTTTTTTGTTTGTTTTTTTTTTGTTGTTTTGTTTTGTTTTTGTTGTTGTTGTTTTTTGTTTTTCCCCGAAGCACAACTGTGCGCTCGGGCGTTATCGTTGCGTGCTCCAAAGCCCCGCGATACTGCCAAGGGCCTGTGGGGCGTTTCGGGGGAGTTTTCGTACCCTTTGGGACGGCGGTAAAATGCAGCTTGGCGGACGGGGCCGCAGAGCAAGAGCCACTCGCCCTCGGGCTGCTTTTGCTTCGAGTTAAAACGAAATTAAAACCCCGAAAGGGAGCCGAGGAACTAAACTCCAGGCAAGCGGCGGTGCCTCCAGCGGGCAATCGCGACTGACGGCAAACGGGCGCCGA